AAGTTTTTTTTTTGGACGTTTTCTATCTTTTTTCATTTATTTCCTTGTTGGCACAATTAATGGATTAAAATGAAATGGAAAAAAAAAAAAATTATTTGATAGGGATTCGAATGAAAATCGTTTAAATTAATTTTTTTTTTTATAAATCAAAAACAAAAAATTTTACCGAACGAAACCCCCGTCGTCTGCTTGAAATAGTTTTTACCTGTTTTGTTTGTTTGTTTGTTCGTTTGTTGGAAGATTAATTTTTTCAACTGTTTGTACAAAACGTAAAAATTTAAAAAAAAAAACACATTACGTTTTCATACGTTTGTAAAAACTATAAATACCTATTCGTACAGGTACGTTTAACCTTTTGGTTTTAAACCTTTTTTTTTCTTTCATTCGAGCCTTTATTGTAGTTTATTATTATTTTAATACTTTCAAACGAAAAAAAAGTGGAAATAGGTAAAAATCGTAGCATTTGTTTTTTTTTTTTATTTCCACGACGCCATCGCGACATTGTTTATTTTAAATTTTTTTTCGCGGTTTTTTTTAATTTTTCAAAAGAAATTTTTTTTCGTACCGGGAAAAACAAAATGATAAGAAAGTGTGAAAAAAAAGACAATTTAAAAAAACAAAAAAGAATTATAAAAGCCGGGCGGCAAAATATTATCCGGATATAAATAAAATGAAATAAGTTTTTCCTGAGGGGGAGGGGGGTGAGAACGGGGGGAGGTTGTTTTGCATTTGGGTTTCATAATCAAAAAGTGATTAATGACCGCCATTTCCCCCCGTAATGAAAAATGTATATATATATATTTAGAGTTTGCGGTTTTTATTTTTTATTATTATTATTATTTTTAACAGCGAGTTAAATTATGGTTTTACATTTTTTTTTTTTTTTTTAAATTTCCTTCTTAAACTTTTCTTGCTTTTTCTTTATCACCGCCACCACCACCACCATTACCACCGCCACCGCCATCGTCGTCGTCATCGTCAGGTTTTTTTTAAAATGGAATTATTATTTTATTTTTTGAGTCGTGTAATTAGAAAAAAGTTTAATCACGATTTCATTATTATTATTATTATTATTATTATTATTATTATTATTATTATTATTATTATTATTATTATCGAAACGGAAATCAAAACACCGGATGTAATTGAACAAGGTGTTTTTTTTTTTTTTTTATAAATTCTTAATTTGCTTCTTTTTTTTTAGAGTTTTCCCTTCTTTCCTTCCTTCTTCCTCCCCTCCCGTCTCACTCCTACCGACGATCCGACATTTTCTCGTAATTTTTTTCATTCATTATCTCATTATTATTATTATTATTATTTATTATTCCCTAAACCCTCTTTCGATTTTTCTTTTTTCCATTTTATCTCTTGAATTTTCTTTTAAAAAATAAAAATAAAAATTTTCATCGTCCATTGAAATAAAAATATTTTCCACTAAGTAATCGACCTTAATTATTATATTTTTATAAATTCAAGATGTTTCTCTCTCTCTCTCTCTCTCTTTCTTTTTCTCTCTTTTGGGAAAACTGTTATTGTTTTTTTTTTTAAAAATGAAAAAGGAAAATTCG